AGCATGTGCTAATTAGCATGTTTTAACTTATAATGGTATTAAAGCCCACATTTTATTTTTGATGTGTTCATTCATATAACTCCTTCCAGATTTATACTTTATTCAAAACAAAAAATTGAATGGAAGAGGAATAAATATATAGAAAATCTGCAAGGAAGATAAACCAGAGTACAGTAAAAATAGAAAGCCCAAGGGAACAAAAACAGGACATCAGAGGACCAGGCAATTAAGTGCTTTTTCCAAAATGTCAGTAGTATTATAAACAAAAGGACAAAAGAACAAAAAGTATGCACAAAGTAGAACTTACTGTATGTGCTTTTGATTATGAAATAACTGGAATTGAAAATGAGAGTTATTTGTAACAAATACAGCATTAGTGAAGAAAGAGGAAAATGGGGGGAGTTGGGGGTATAGCAATATAAATCAAAAAGAGCATTCGGGTAAAAGCCTAGATTAATTGAATACTAAGATGCTGTGTGTCAGACATAGAAAAAAAGTACTGCAGAGGGGCAGAGTGTTCAGAATACTCTACGCATCGCCAGATATGCATGTAATTCAGATATGAATTATAATACTTTCTTATATGATGCAATCAGGAAGTAGTTAAAGAATAAGTAGTATTGTTATCACGGGAGATGTTACATAGATTGGGAAAAGCCCTTAGGGACATCAGCAGCTGCAACAAAAAAGGTAAACCTGGCTAACAACTGTTTCTTTAGTTTGTCAGAGCACCTACTAGAGCTGAGGTCTCAAACTCAGTTCCTGGAGGGCCTTGTGTCTTCTGGTAATTGCTCCAAACTGAGCAGTCAATTAAATCTTTAACCTAATTATTTTCTAAATTAAGACATGTATAGAATTTTTCTTAAACTCTTTTACATTTGATTACACAAGACATGCGTTTCATTAAAGGTCCAGTTATTCATAAATCACCTCAGACCCTGGTAAGAAGTGTTACAATTATGTAGCTATTTAAATAATTAGACTATGTAACTGAGACTATGGGAGGGAAAGCCTCGGTTTATTTAATTCAAAACAAGGGTTTACAATTTCAGAAAAGCAGGCTGTGAGGGATTAACACAGACTTTAAAAAAGGAGAATGAGATAAGATAGGTAGGAAATTGGTAGGAATTCCATGGCACGTTCAATATGTTCTGCTTGAAGCACCAAACATACTCATCCCAAAAATAGTTAAATTTAAAAAATTGAAAGCACTGCACCAAACTATGAATCACTAAATATTTACTGCTTAGTACAGTATATAATATTTTTAGTTAGACACATATACTGTATTTATTTGTATTTATTTATTAAGGTCTTTTGCAGTTGAATTCAGAATCACTGAAGGATCAATTACCTGTAAATAGCTTGGTTATTACAGTTATGCTGTTAATTAAATAAATCAGATCATCTATGTGGGAGGATTCTGGTGGAAAAAACTAAGACAATTTGTTCTCCAGGAACTTAGCTTGAGATTCTTGACTTAAATAGTAGTAATATATTTGTTTGCTCATTAAATTGAAAGCACAGATTAAAATGGACATTATAAAGGACAAGAAAGAGAAAGTAAAGAATATTGCAATGAAGGCTGAAATGGATACTAAATATTACAGTATTACAATTGAAAAAGTACAGTAAACGAGTGTCTCAGAAGTAACAATGAGAAACATTTAGACTGTGAAAGTGAAACGGCAAATAATTAAATTGATATTTCACTCAGGTCTTTCAGCAACTGAAAAAATGCTTCAACCTGAGAGAAGAGAACTTCTTTACTGATTAGTATTAACATGCAAGAAGAAGCAGTATTATTAAAATTACTTTAGATAGTAAGTTGACTTAATGTACTATATATTACAACATAAGACCTGATAAATTAGAAGTATGTAAAGTTCCAGGGCCTGACAGTTTTATAACCACTTAAGAAAACAATTAATGCAATACATACTGTAGACCAAAAACTCTTTCAATAGTCACTCAAGGTCCACGTTCAGTACTAAGGTACTTATTGTATTAATTGTACTAATGGGTCAGTACAACAACTCAGTTCCAATTTCAAGTTTTAGAACTGCCCTCACGTAGGTGCAACGTAACCAACTGGAAATCTGCAGAATAAAAAACAAAGCTTATTGTGGGTGTGTCATTCCCACCTGTGTCTGCTCATCATCAATTGATCCGATAGTTAGAATTGTTCAGTCAGAAATAGTGACAACCTGAGAAGAGGGTCTGTAAAGCCAATAGAACTTTGGCAACCTTGAAGTAACTTATGTTTGACACTCAGGACTGACCAAAGAAATAAGTTAAATAAAATCTAAACAAGCAAGCGGATCAATAAAGTCATCAACTGGCACTGGAGATTTAGAGCTCAGCTGGAACAGGAACCAGCAACCAGTATTCCTCCAGGACTAGGATTAAGAACCACTGTCCTACACAGACATGTTGAAAGAACTGAATCTTTTGATCCCAGAAGGCTATAATTCTTATGTTCTTATGGCAAAACTGTCCCTTTTTAATAGAGTCAAAAGAAGCCTATGCTGTACTTGAGAATAATGTTAGAGGTTCTTCAACCACAGGTATTAATTGTAATAGGTTGGAGAAATGAATGAAAATAGGCATCAAATAATTAAACTTAAATATCCTCTAAAAAACAGAGGGATGTTAAGAAGGCCAAAAGCAATACTGAATGTGTGGCTCATCTCCACCATTGTGAATTTACATTATTACCATTTGGGAGATGCCTCTGTGTCCCTAGATGTAACAGTAACAGACTCAGGAAATGTTTCAATTCCCACTGCAATTTCATTCTCAAGCGATTTAAAGTAACTCTCTCATCTCCTGTAACACTATTGTACTGTCTTCCTTGTTGATAATGTTTGTCTTTGTTTGTTGTATTTCCCTCAGGGAATAATAAACATTGAATTGAATTTAACTGTATCTCTACAGGTGCATTTATTGTACAAATTCCAGAATAATTTCACTAAGATTCTAGCACATTTTATCCTGGAACAGTGCATTCACAGATGCATTATATGACAGGGAGCACGTTTTTACAGGGGGACAGCTTGGATAATTTAAAAAATAATACATATTTTTTACATTATATAGAGTATAAAAATACTCTTCAAATAGAAATGCCAGAATGAATTATGGGAAGGGAAGTGCAATGCCCATTACTAATTTTTTCCTAAGGTTTTGGACTATGTCCTCAATGAAGTTTACTCTAGCAAACATCACAGCTATTTTGCAAAACGACCTCAACTTTTTAGAAAACAAGAGGACACTATATAAATTGTGTTTGTTTACATTGCATTACCATTTACATCAAAGGTTGAATTAGTTTGATAGGTTTGCTAGCACCTCAAATGTCTGATATTTAGGCCTACTGGTACATACTGTAACACTTGTTCTGCTTGCAATCTTTTTGAATCGCACATTACTTTACTTATAAACATTTATTGGTTATTTTGTCAAAGTATTCCCACTCCCAGCTTTTTTGTCATTTTGTCATTTAACTCAACTTTCAATTTTTAGGTAAGTTTTCTTGACACATAATAAATCACTGTCTCAGATATACTAGATTTTAAGGTTTTTAAAACAAATCATAAAATATACCAAAAAACCAAAAGTGAAATAATTCTTCTCAAGTTCAGAATGTCTACACATATCTAATGTGGTAATACTCATGTGCAGAAAAAGTTAAATAAGAGGAGCCATGTGCAACTGTTCAGTATATTATACTCAAAAGTATTAACTACAGACAAAAAAAAATATTTTTACCACAGCCCTCCAACAGTCTATTTATGCACACTAAGAAACCTTTTCTCAATTACCATTCACAGTAGGAGAACTGCAGTAACTGGGCTTTGTGCCACTTCTTGCCATCCATCTTAAATTAAATGGCTTAATCAGTGCCAAACAGAATGGAAAATCAAGAAATACTGAAATTAATTACTCTTTCTCCATATAACACACCAAAACCTATTAGGCAGTACTCTTTATTTTTTATGATTTTTTGTTCATACAGTCTTGAGCACTGCAGTTGTAATTCAAAATACAAGATGAAAATAGATGCATAAATGTGTGGACCACTGTTAAAATAGGTAGAGATCTACTATTTAATACATGCCCAGCAGCTCTTCAGTAAAGACCACTGAATTGTGAATAGATAAAAGACACTTGAGGGATGATGTATAAAACAACAACCTAATCTCTAGCCATTTCTCTATTAGATGCAATTTCTTACTAGGTTGGGAATAAAGGCAAAATCAGACAGATCTGGGTTTATAATAATGAAGCCTTTACCCCCACCTTTTGTCTGAATTCAATACACCTGTCACTGCTTACCAGTATTTATTGATAGCATGTCACATTTATTCTTCAAGGCCAAGTCACAGCTCAGAGACCACAAGCACATTCATTGCACTGTATCTGTATGATTATGTTAGAACATTTTTTAAGTAATGATGTCTAGTAATATGCTTGAAATTAAAGGGAATATTCAACATTAAATTGGGTTAATAACAAACACTTTATATGTAGATTGATCAAATATTTTTAACCTAATGATGTAATTACCGCTTTTTTTAGGGTGAAGTATCACAGCTTTGAGATGTGTTTGTATTATTCTGTTATTGAATAACAGAACAGTAATCCGATAGTGTTTTTTCTACCTTAAATGACATCTTCAAGTCATACTGAACCCATTTCACCTGGAACAGCTGCTAACAACACTCTATCAGTATAACATTTGTTATACATTAATATGCATACTTACCTCAGAGTGTGATTACCTCAAGAAACTCCCATGGAAGAAATGGTTGTTCAGGAACTCATTTTGAAAAATCTTTCTAAACATCAAATATTATAAAACACGAACAGTGTCTTCATGCTTCTGGTTTTAAACATGTCGGGAATGAGGTAAGGGATGGATTCTTTATATGGAAATTATAACGTTCAGAAAGAATCTTAAAAAGCAAAATATCTAAAGAAAGGTATGCTTTACTCACGTCTGAATTAAAACGGAGCTGGCAGATGTTGCAGGAAATAACTTGCTTTTTCTTTGGAGGAATAGACACTCCAAATGTGTGGTTAATTACAGCTTTCTGTACAGGATCCATCTGGAGAGCAAACATCAGAAAAGCACACTTAGTACAGAGCTGGGGAGAACAGTCTAAAGCTGAACATTAGAGAGATTTGATGTTTTATCAGCTGACACATTATTGGGGTATTAAAAGCTTGCATATATCTTATGACTTATGACTAGATGACGCATGTTTAGTTGATTACTGTTTAATTATCCAAATGTGCCAAAATACTGAAATCACCAAGAACAAGAATTTTAATGCATGTTAATCATTCCTGAGACTAAAATAATAAATTTCATATGCAACAATAAATTTACTCTTAGTTTTAATGCTAACAGGTTACAAAATTGGGTCTGAGTTTGTCCTTTAATTACACTGACAAATGCAAACTAAGAAAGCACCTGGATTTGCAAATAAAACCTTATCAATGAAATGTCATATTCACACAACACTTTTTGCAATGTAACACTGATAAATTTGTTTTTTTGAGAAACTGTCTATGAATTATCAAAACATAATATATATCATAGATATAGTATATCACTGAAAGAGAAACAGTGAAAGTAAAGGCTATACTAATACTAAAACAATCACTATGTTGGTTTTGTTTAACTTCAGAATGTAACAGTACCTTGACAATGGCAACATAATATGAATTAAACAAAATGTACAACATTTAACTTTTGTTCTCAGATTGAAAATAAAAAAATGTTCGTTAAAAGACTAGAGCCAGCAACAAAACTCAAATACTAGACACCACATTAAAAATGCAAAGTTCAAATATGGCTTAAAATTGCTGTGGTACAAATATGGCTTATAATGAATGAAGAGGCATTAAACTTTCAGCTGCCAAAAGTCATTCAATAGCTTTATTATAGATATACTATACATAAATAGGCAGCATTAAATAGCTAGGCAGATACTTAAAATCAAGCAGAAATATTGTTCATGATGACAAAACATACTAATAAAAAAGGAAAGCAAAATGGAAAATTTTAAGAATATTTTGAAAACTAATTCTCAATCTATTAGGCCTTGCATGTTTATTTTTAATGTATACATTATTTTTACCTTTTGGACTGTAACGTAGTTTCCAGCAGTTAATATGCTCCAAAATTAATATACAGAGAGGAAACAACTACCAGTACTGTAATTAAAGAACAAAATAAAATAATTTCTGCATCAACAGAAAAACTCATAGAAAATAACTGACCAAAATCAAAACTAAAAATACCTCTTGCAATTGAAGATTCTCCTCATCAGTTCAGCATTGAAGGACGCACATATTCAAATATAAAAATTCTCTTGTATTTATTTCAAATGGTCATTTTAGGACAAGGATGTAAAAAAAGTCTAAGCCACAGTTCTGTGCAGTAGCACAAGGGCAAACTCACAAACAAAACAAGCTGACAGCTCTCTAGGGGCTGTAGCTCTTGATTACCACAAGGCAGTTGCTGCTCTTTCATAAACTAGAGAGTACTAGGTGTCATTTGGTCACAATGAAAATCAAGAATCTAAGCCATTAAAAATTTATAAGATATTACTCATGGCTTGGATAAATTACAGCATGCTGGAGGGCAACATTTCAGCTTTCTTAAACTCATAAGAATGGATTTAATTTTTAGATTTACTGCCAACGTTTTATCAAATTTTAATTTGAAGTTAAACTCTACTATAATACTATTCTTTAATTTTATACTAAACACTTTTTGGAAAAACAAATGATAAAACCTCTGACAGAAAGGAAATCTTTCAAATTCTGTAAGACTTGTGCTTTGTGTCAATAACATCTTACGAACAAAAAGATGAGCGAGTCTCCTGACCTGCTGTTGCAATTTAATAACCCATAATGGCTTGCAATAATTGCACTGTGATTTTTAATTAAATCTTATCTTTGTATTTCATATTTGCAGGAACAGAACAACAGATTTTAAAAACAAGTCAGTAATGTTCCACATCTGAGATCCTACAATATAATAGTATTTAATTGCTTTTACCAGGCTGCTATACTATTCAGATATTGATTCATTACACTTGAAGATTGACTTTGTCTATCATTTTTGCACTGTTAATTACACTTTACTGATAAGAAGTGTTATGGGTGATGCTTTTAGTGTGGCAGGCTGTCACTATCCAATGAATTTCAATTACACACTTCTGTCATTTCTCTCTTCACAGCTCCTCACTCTGCTTTACAAAAATAATTGAAAACCTATTCTGCTAAGCAAACAGGGTCTGACTTGTTACTTTACTTAAGCAACATTTCTAGGGGGGAAAAACTCCAGGAAAAAGAAAGAGAAGATTGTGTGTTAAATTGGTCATGAGTTCTTTCGGTTTTGGATGCAGACATTGTAAGGGACTGGGTTCCAAAAATGAAATTGCAGCAAAGCTTTTCTGGCAGATTAAAGAGAGACTTGTTCAGGCTGTTTGAACTATGAACAAAGATGCTATGTGAGGTAAAAAATCTTTAAAAAAATCTTAACCCAGGGTGCAGGAGTTATAACATGAAACCAGAAAATATTCAAATGTAATGACTTGTCTAATGTACTGTATATATACTGTAGTTTCCAGGGGTTTACTCGGTCTGGTTAAAAAACTGAGAAAAAAGGTTCATGTGGCTCATAATGTAGACTATGTATCTAACAAAATGATTGTAAACATTATTTAGAAAGCAAATGGCAATGTAATTTTTCAACAAGAAAAAAGCAGCATTAGATAACTTGATACTTAGCCAATTTTCCCTTGATACGTGGGATTTGCATGACATCCACATGATGCTAATCATGTAGCTTTTCTCCACCATGTAAGATCAGTTTGATATTCATACTGTACGTTTTTTCACTTTTAAGAACATATGGCTAGATTCTTAACTTCCATTATATGCTGTCTTTAATATGATACATCGGTTGATTTTACTGCAGTATGCAGCCTTTAGTACTGCAATCATTTATTGTCCATCCACAAACAAAACCAGCATGTTAATAAAATTGATCCTTTTGGTAATACTTGGAGGTTTGTACTACAAATTACCAAATTGTGTATTCAAACTAGAGCAGCAATCATCATATTATGTTAGCATTAAACAGCCCTCTTTCTTGCCATTTAGAATGATTATTGTCTGTGATATTTTAACCAAGTTGGCATCGTGTTTGCTCAGCAAACAAGGCTTAGCATCTGATACACTCATAGTGTTTAAACATTAATATGTTATGTGGGGGATCTAGAACCTGTTTATCCTAACACTGTTAATATAAGCTTGGCTATATTGTATTACATTGGTCTGCCTGATCCTGGTTAGTCTCTGTGCTTCAAAAAATTAAAAAGCACTAATTATAAGTGGTGACACCTGCACTGTACAACAATATTGTAAAAGATACTTTCAGATAACCAATGTCACTCTGTAACATCCAACATTCTAGATAGAAATTTTTAATTCAAGAACAAGTATCACATCAAGCAGAATAACATATCACAGTTATACATTCAATTAATCAAAGGGAAAAAAATAAACAACTGTTTAGCTTAAAGGGTGGGAATATAGAAAAAAACTAAAGTTGTGTTTCTATGTACATTAAACAATTTACTGAGCATAATGAATACAGTAAAAAAGTGAGTTTTAAAACTTTTTTTTTACTGAAAAAATAAAATGTATAAATTAAACACACTAAATCTACCGTAGTTTCAGGTACTGTATGGAACCAGCTTTTTACCTGGGTTGGCAAGACAGTCTGCAATACTATTCTCTTATATGAGTCACACTTAGTGTCTTATACATGAAGACTTTCAGTTCTTGAAATATATTTATTTTCTGTTATTTTGTAACTTCTGCCATTTATACAGTAGCTTTTTTCAGTTGTTAACTGTGTGTTTTTCAGATCCACAGGCACGTGGCTATGAACTCTGTGATCTCACATAGGAGAGAATGAGAAAGCGCAGCCAGACAGCTCCAACCTGATTAAATTGAGGCACCCATCTTTTAACATGTCACAGTCAATGTAGTCCCAAAACTGCAAGTTCAGTGCCAATCAGCGAGGCTCTTCCCTCACCACTGCATGCCTGCAAGTACTCAGAAGGCCACAGGGGTTAGTTTGTTTTACCAAGAAAGCCCTGACCAACTGTTACCATCCTACCCTTGGCAGCACTCGGGCAGTTGTGGGCTGCCATTTGGGAAATCTGAGTCACAGTCAGCAAGTACTGTGACCCAGGCTTGAACCCATGAACCTGCACATGGGCTAACACCTTTACTGGTAGAGTTACTCGGGAGGCCAGATGTTATCTGTACACTATACATTCCCAAAGTCTGTATAAAAAGAGCTTTCTACTTCAGAAACAATCAGTATGTCTTTGTATGAACAGCTAATAGTTTAGAAAAATGCTCCTTTTATTTTTTATCAATTACTAAGTATTCTTACACTTTAAATAAAGTATATATCTACCAAATTTGTTAAAATTAAAATAAAAGTCTTCTTATATTAAATGCTGGGGCAGTCATGTGTACAAAACAGGAAAAGTGACAATAATACTTTCAGAACTAGCCAATATTTTCAGGAGTACTAGAGGTTTCACCACAGTATCCTAGACAAAGAAATAAGAACTTATAAATAATACTCATAAATAATACAGTACACGTAATCGTTAGCCAGTATTGTTATAACCATACTAACCTTAGCTTTCATTAAATGATAACAGAATTGATTATCACTTAATACTGCAATGTCTGATGAGTTTTTTAATTCTAAAGACAATGCAAATATAAGTTGTGCTGGGCTAAAGAAAAGTCAAAACCAAGTATGAAATATTTTTAGGTCCCCAAGCAATCTTTTGGAAATATTTCTAGATTATAAAATTACAGATTATATTTTAGAAGACTATAAACCTGCAGACAACCCACCTTCTAGCTCTTCTGAGAAAATGTAGGAAGTGCATGGTTAAGGAAGACCTATTTTTCAGTCTATTTCAGGTCACATCAGTTTCTATCTGGCATCAAAATGAAAACAGCTTTTGGGTAGATTAAGTCAAAAATCAATTTTGTTCAGTCTAGTTTAGGTAGTGTTAGGGGTGGGGAAATCAATGACTGGGTGCACACACAGCATTCAAGCACCACATGCAATCTCTTCAGTTCTAGGAAAAAAACTATGATTTCTAAATGAAAACCATTAATGCAAAACAAAAATAATCACTACAGAAAGTAATACATTATTCAGTCTCAGGAAAGAAAAAAGCAAAGTTCAGTTCCCTAAATTTTGATATAGTATGCATTGCTAAAACTGCAGAAATTACAGGTTTTACAAGGTATGCTTAAGTCACTCATTGCATTACAGTATGTAAAAAAGCAATTAGACAAAAGCGGCACTTACTGTATTGAAATTGGGGAAGAGCCCAACAGGAGAAGTCGTATCCACTGGAAAGGACATAAAAGGTTTCATATCCAATGTGGACTGCATCATCAAAGGTGTTCGCACAAGTGCAGGAAGTGTGGTGCTATGGCATGTACTTCCTGTAAGTGAGAAATGAAATAAATGCCTTTAGCTCTAGAGCAAGAGTCTATTTCTAGCACATGTTAAAGAATAAATGATTACTACACAAGCTCTTGCAGAAATAAAAAATTCTGAAGCGACGACTGTGATTAGGGAAAAGAAACACATCATTTTCTAAATGAAGCAGAACATTTCCCTGCGAATGGCTAAGTTTGAATCCTGGAGAGACATATGGTGTGTGAATCATCCTGGCAGGTAGAATGATTGTGTCTCTGAGTCTGAACAATCTGACGAGCTGAAGAGGCTGGGGACAGGCACCTATTAAAGCCAGATGCTTACTGACAGCATGCGGGCCTATCAAATCGGTGGAGCTAAAGGGCTACAGGGACTTCATGCAAATCTGGGGCAGCAGAGGTCAAGCAGCCTCTCAGATTATTGTTTGTTTATAGTAGTCAGCTATACTGAACTCCGTGTTCTGCGTGAAGCATGTTAAAACACTAAACATATTTATACAATCGTGTATAATACTATAATTTAATACCAATTGTTCTCAGGCACAAACAAATTAATAACCTAAAAATCACAGAAATGCATATTTGTGTTGCCATTTCTGGAGCAGATAACTTTTCATATATGTAAGTCAATAACAAATTTTATAATACACAACAAAAAATAATATTCATAAATGAATAATACAAACATTTTAAGTTTAGCATATTTTTCCATGGATTGCTCCACTTTCAATGAATATTAGCAGTAGGTACCTTTGCCATTAATGGATATTCTACTACAAAGAAAGCCAGAGTGTACTTCAAAACTGCTGATGGTCTGCACAATATGGTTAAAACTAATAGCAGATGTGCACCAAACAATTTTTAAGTAGGTAATATTTTAATCTATTTTTGCATCTCTTATGTCTGTGTTTCTTCAGCAACACATCTGAATGATTTAGTGAATTGTGAAAGAATGAACAGGGCCATTAATTCACTGGGGACCACATGCTGTTTCTGGAAGAACTTGAGTAGTCATAGATATATTCAGATACCAAGAGACAAATGTGTTAGCATTTCAAAAAGCACTTACTGTAATATTCCTATGTATGAGAAGATTTTTATATAGCTAAAGCCTATGGCTATAGAGTTTTTACCTGTTGTTGGAAGTAACAGCATGAGCAACAGAATTCCTGTTATTAATTCAGGTAAAAAAGGTAATCAAACTCTACATCAACTCTTCATGAATTGAGAAACTGATGAAGACTATACTGAGGTATACATTCTAAAACAAAATAGTTGTTAAATTAAAATGCACATTAAATTCTTGCATTATATCTGGAAAAATTACAAATACAAAAAACTAAATAAGAAAACAATCAAACATACACCATCTAAGGTATGAATTATATTGAAAATCATAAAAATCAAACTGTATTTCTAAAGGTAGCAACAAAACAAATAGAGTGTGAGACTAATACATTCATCAAAAGCTTTCCTTAAAGCTACTAAAGACTACACTCACTAATCTTAATCAATGTGCAATGATTAAGATTTAAACTTTCACATGTTTGTCACCCTCTGTACAACAGTTACTGTATATTGATTTTCAAAGCTTTTGTTTTGTGGTGTTATGAGCTTATCCTTGGCTTTAGTACAGTGGCTAGTCTTTCAAATCTATGTAGTTCCACCTTAATACCCTTGTTGCAGTTCCTAAAATTTACTGCTGGGTGACAGACAGGTTGTAAGACACTAACAATTTTGTTAACCAGCACTTGAATATATCTGGTGCCGTTTAAGTCCTGTGCAAATTGTTTTGATTGTGTCTGACAATTTTGTTTTTTATTTACCAAAAACAGACATTAAACATTTCCCAAAGGTTAACAAACATTCTGTCTCCAGTCACATAATCAAATCTGTATGCAAATATAACTCAAACAGGATAAAAAAGGCTACAAAGATTTCCACAACATTATTAACATTTTCCATTTTCACATTTTTCTTGTTATCTTGTTATTTTGAAAATCCAGCCACATCATGAAAATATAATAACTCTTACACATCAAAGTGATATATATTACATAGCATTTGGGTAATTAAAAGCTTGTTTAAAATATATGAGTCACTTTTACCAAGTAGTCTAATCATATTTTTATTATGTTCTTTTATTGCAAATGTATTATGATAAAATGAAATTCCTCACTTTGCTAGATATTAATTTTGTCTCAATTACTGGGTAGTAGAGTGAAGTCTCTTGCAAATAAGCAAATAGATAATCTCAGCTTCCAGTTCCAAAAAATTCTTACCTCTGACATAAATAATATATCTTTGTAACATATTATATACTACTTTTATTTTTATTTGCCTGCTGTAAAAATTGGAATATTCAAAAATATTTTGTCCCTTACATCTAAACTGAATTCTGCTTGAGGTTTACTTGAGGTTTATTGACCTTAACTAACAAAGGTAACTAAAAAGAAAACTTAAAGCAGTTTCACTTCCCAATTCCACAAACCTTAGACCAATTTGGAAACTAGATGCATGTTTGCATTTACATGCTGTACACATCCTGCACTGCATAGAAATACAGATTCCTTTGTTCACACTAATCATGTTTAATAGAAAACATATGTATTCTACTCCTTTGAACTGGTTTAAATATTCACAACAGCAGTGATCTGTAGTTATAGACAACCTAAAAACAATGAACAATGAAAATGTACTGAACAGCTGCAGTTCAAATATTTTTGAACGTGTATTTATGTATATTGGATGTGTCAGATCTTTGTGCCACCATCTTAAAGAGAATATCAGAACAAGTTGACTGAATCTCCCTCTCTTCTTACAAGACTGATCATCTCATAGTCACATATGCTGAGTCTGTTGTAGTTATCTGATCTAATAGATCTGTCTGTCTTAGCCATCTCATGTCATGAGGACTCAACATCAGTGGGCTGTGTGAATACATTTTGCATATCCTCATGAATCCCCTGGATATTGTGTGTAAACATGTATTTGCTGTTCAGATAGCTTACAATATGAGGGTAGGCTTTAGTACACAAAAACATTCTAAGATATCTTATTTCTGAAACCATGAAACCAGGCCCATGTAAGCCATTAAAATTAATATTGGTTTCCAGGGAAACAAGTTTGACAGTATCACTTGCCTTATGTGGCAAATACTATTGCGCATGTTAAAACCAAGTAGTGCAAAAGTAAAAGTATAAAACATTTAAAACTATTTGATATATCTTTATATGAATTAAACCAAAATATATTTTTTATTACAAATGCTAGGAAGATCCCAGCAGGTATCAAACAGACACCTACATCATAAAAATAATCTCATAATAATCACTTGTATATTTTTCCAATATTGGCAAGGCAAATAAGAGAACTAATCATTTATTTCAAAATATTTTTTTGTGATTTTTGGGATCTTTTAAAGTGAACATCAATGGGATTCAAGAAAAAAAACAAAAGGATTACTGACATGCATTTGACAATGTTGAATTAATACTTTATTCTCAAAAATGTCATCAACCAGAAACACTCAAAATGGAGTATGCAGTGATTGAGGTTATTCATACAAATTAATTGGATATTAATGGACACAGGGTAAGGCAATGTGCTATCCTACAATTGACTTAAACTGAAACAAACCTTAAAAAACTTTCTAAGGTAAACAGATATCCTTGTATTTTATTAAAATCACAGTGTATATCACTGAAGTTGTTGTAACATTTACCATGTGGCTCTTCAAAAAATGTACTCACCTGTAAAGTTTTTAAAGGTGAAACTTGTGAAGCACATTAGGGGAGATGTCTTTCCTGGCCAAATTTGCTTTTTGTCAAAATGATACTAGCATTATCACAAAAGCATGATCTACCAAGCAAGCCAGTTTCTTTATATGATAATCAGTGAGCCATTTAAAATGCAAATAATACAATGCTATTTAGTTTGCAATTAAATGTTTGCTTGCACTTTGCTCTAGTTCAAAGTGCAAAGGGGTGGAGCCATTCTGCGTGGAGTTACCTTTTTCTTTAGAGTAACTGTTCAAACACTTTAAACACTCCAGTTTTTGGATGCACAGAATGTATTTCCTCCTGAATCTACAGAGATACCTTTGGATAGGCACTACAACAATAATTTTATGAGAATCACAGTGCCCTGTCCCAAAAGTTATAATTTAGTGCTGCCTTCACCAAGCATTTTAGTTAATTTGTTGTAGAATACATACATTTGTATATATACTTTTGTATATAGTATATATACAGTACATTATATACTGTGAGGCTGGCAGTTTTAGGTAAGATGGCAGCTGTAGCCTGAACTACATTCCCCAGAACTCTGTGGGGAATGCCCTACTGGTCTCAGTCACCTGGCCAACTTGTACAGGGGAAAGCTTAAAAGTCATTAAGTGAAAGCATCCACAGAGAAGGGAGAACAGACTCTGTGGCACAATGGATAATTTAAAGTTTTGTCTGGTGGGGAATCAGCTCTGTACTCCTGCACTGTAAATAAAATCTCTAGTTTTGTACTTTTCAGCTGTGTCTGTGTTTGTTTTTCCCGGGATCCACCTAAAATAAATTTCTATGAACACTCCAACCTCAAAGTGTGTCACAATACATAACAGTAACGTTAAGAACTTTTCTACCAACTGCAAACTCAGCTTTGTCTAAACTTCCTTTCATTTTTTTCATCTACAACGGGAGCATTGAGTAACTCATATTCAGATCTGTTTAATCATAAATTATCACACCCCTTTCATGATTGAAATTGAAGTATCTAAGCCTTGCGCACACATACAAAGTAAGAAAACTTACTACATTTATAGTTCTCTAAAATACAGATTTCAACCCAAACAGTATGCAGAATATTAAAAATGATCACTGTTCTAAAAACATCACTGTCAATGTGTTTTTTTAAAGCAAAAGTGAATCAGAGTGAATCAGATTTAAATTATTTTACTGTTCTGTTTACTTATCTCACCAAAGAAATTCAATTTTCAGAAGATACAGAGTATAAGC